AATGGACTCAAATCGATTCCGTATTGTGAAAAATCCTAACATTTAAGGACATTTAAGTTATGTTGTATTTCACACTTAATGACAAGGTCCACATATTATATTGAAATTGACAGTGTATTAAAGTTTTAGTCAAAATTCTGTTTTAGTAAAGTTGTATAACCTGTATTTTGAGAAAGCATACTGATCAATTGTTATACAATTTTCAGAACTAAGGTCCATGTTCCATGAATTTAACTCTTTAAGTAAGCGAAGACTTCATAGAGGTCACTTAATGTTCATGTATTCGTATGGAGAGAAAAGTGCCTGTATTAAATTTGCCGAAATGCCGAAATTGTGCAAATGTTGCTTTTATTAGTAAATAACTGCGGACGTATATTGTATGGAATCACCTTTCAGGCACACACAAAACTGCGGTGAAACCCCAATTCTACAAACAATGACGCCAGGACAATAACAATAACAAAAGCGTAATCAGAAACAGAAACAGAAACAGAAGACAAAGGAGAAAGGAGTCGAGCGAATATAAAAACTCCTTTGTGTTGTGTTAAATTGTGTGTTTAAGTTAATTTTATGTTAATTATTATGCGACAAAATAGCTTTTGTACGGTTCATGGCTACTTAAAAACCCGTAGAATGGCAACTTAAATGAATTGCTGATGAGTCTATTAAGATTTCAAATGCTTTTGGGGTTCATTGAAAATCAATTAAAACAAATAAAGCAATTATTTTGTTTTCTGAAATTAGTGCGGTTGAAATTGTTTAGCAGAGCAAATTGAATGTAATTTTTTAGGAAGCACATAAATATGATACAAAAAAAAAATTACTTTAATTCGTCAGATCGGAAAAAAGTTACTCATACGCCACGTTCATAAAATTCTTGGAAACATAAGAATTCTGGCCAAAAAGAAAATTCTCATTTCTTTTTGCGATTGGTTTAATCAATTAAATAAGCAAACCCTAATAGCAAATTTTTTATTCAAAACATATTCTACACTCAAATCGTTTTCAAATATCACAATTTCTGTGTCATCAAATGGTCATTTGAAGCTTCTTCAACGTTGACTATTAATTTTAGAAAGTGTGTCTGTTCTACGTTGATTTCTTTCTGTTCCTTTATTTTTGCAGCACTTTTGCTTTAATAGCGGCCATCATCATCTATGTTGACCATTGTTATTTCAATGGCAAACTGATGACCCATTATTTGAATTTCCATTTCAAACGTTACTGATGTCCGCATAGATGAGGATGCCAACAACAACTATGGCGATGATGATGATGATAGCAATTTCCAAAACGATTTTCCTTGCGCAAATTTAACTTTGTGCAGGCCTTATGTTCACTTCTGTCATGCAAAACTTCATTTCAATCTTATGTGACCTCAAATTTTAAATGAATTTTGGAATTGAACGATAATCAATTAACTTACTTCAGCTGCTTCAATTTCGCTTGGCGCTTTCCTTGGCACGGCTCTCCAAAAGCGTAGAAAGCAAATACAATCTCATGCATATACACAAGTATAAATTATCCCGTACCTTTCTTCTTACTTTTAAACTGTAAAATTTTGTGATTGTCATTTGAGCTATTGCCGGGTATTGAGTGAATAGCCGTGGAAAGTTGCCACCGAAAGGAAGGCGACATTATTCTTCACTGCAAATACACCACATATTGGTTAAATGGGCGCTGACGTAACAACGAAAATGACAATGAAAAAGTTTAACCCCGAAGGAATATAAATTAAAAAATGAAATATTGGAAAATTGTCATGCTGTCATTGAAAGGAAAATTATCTATTGGAAAAGAAATGTTGAAGAATTTTTTTAACGAATCATGAAATATTCTTGAGCATAAAGATTTAGTTAAAGTAGAAATGGTGAAAAAAAAATATAATGAATTAAAAAAATTAAATTTATAATCTCACTTAAAAACAAAAAAAGTAAATAAAAAAATTAATACATAAAAATGCTAAACAATTCTTAGGAGGAAAAATTTTATATAATCCTTAAAGCAATAAGCTAATCGTATTATGATTAGCTTTACTATATAGTTGTGACTGTACAATTAGTGAAGAATTTTTCAAAATAAATCTCAAATCTCTTTTTGCCAGGGATAAGCAGTATCTGTTTTCAGCAATCTTATGAAGAACTGATTATATTACTCTCGCTATACCTTGACGGCATTCAACAAATGTTCATTGTGCGCCGTCGAGTGTCCAATAATCAAATAACTAGCGGCTTTGTAAGCAGTTTTGGGTAAAAAGAAACTCTTTGTTTTACAAACATAATAAAACTATGTAAATAACACTATAACTGGGTACAAAAAATCAACCTAACGAGTAGCTTGCGTTTGATGCCATCATATATTTTTACTAAAAGATCTTTAAAACCTCTAATTTGAATTCAATGACTACTAGATTATTTGGCATCTTTCGATAAAGTCGTCGGTGTAGGTCTGTCATACTAAGAAGTCTTCTAGCATCATTTTTTATAAGCCCTTGGAGACGCTTAGTCTGAGCCTCCGCTTGTTTTTTAACTTGCTCAGGAACTCACAACAGAAAAGGCTTCTACAAATACCTCAGTCTTTTTGTGATTGGATTAGTCATCTATCAAAATTTATGCACAAGATTTGAGAATTCTGTCCATTTTTCCGATTATTTAATAAATCACCTCTCGTTACAAATGGCACCAATATTTATATATACAGTAACAATATATTTGCCCTGTAATTTTATTAGAGTGCTAGTATCGAAATCAATACTGAAAGCTGGATTACTACTGGTAATGGCGGGATTGACACGCTACTATTACATATGTAAAGCAAACTTTCCCTAACGTATGCAAGGGAAACTAAAAAATAGTTCACCGTACCAACACCAATTCAAATATTATCTCTGAATTTGACAAACGATTATAGAATTTATTGTAGAATGCAGCTAATACCGGTAGCGTCAGTTTTGTGTCATATGAACCACGAACCCTTACGCTATATTAGGTTGAAGTCGTGGCCTTACTTGAGCACAAATAATTCCACGTTGTCTGCTGCTTATACGACAAATAAAACGAATCACCATAACTGGTATGAAGACCAACGAACTTCCCCATTAAATTGAAAGTAAACCAACATGACAAATCTATAAATTTAATTATGTTCCAAACGTCGACATTTTTCAAACATAGACATTTGTCTCCAAGAATATGGCGAATCAAGTTTAAAGTTTTTTAACGTGATTACCTGTGTATCATGGTGGTCTTAATATATATGTATTAGTATAATGTACCGATAAAGACCCTATTGAAAGTCCAAGAAACTTCACTAGCACAAATTGAAGTTTTTCATTTGGATATAGTTTCCTTGCTTGTTTGAAACGAGGACTATCTAACACCTCTGCTGTTCTTTAGGTCAAAGTTTCCGTTTCGAAAATTCAACAGCAGATCAAATAAAATTAAATAAATACTTTATTAATTATATTCTATTCTATTCACTTAAACTTCGATCTTAACCACAGCCACTATGGTACTCCTATCAAAAGACCAACCTCTATTGAACAGGATAGCTGAAGCTGCAGGCTCAGACCCTCGTAGTACCAGATTTACACCTTTGATCGCGTGCTGTAAATAAAATTGACTCACTATCATATATACTCCGAACAGTATTGGGCGCTGCATTCTGTTTTTCAGTAAATCAGATATAGTCTAACTCCTATCCTTTTCCATCCGGAAAGATCATGGCATACCAACATTGCACAATAAATTCTACAAGATACAAGATGACTCTAGTTAGTATCAACAGAGTAAAACGCGTTATAACCTATTCTAGGATATCGAAATACTATCATCAAGAAGAACTGCAATTGCGTCTAATCTCAAATTTCATGCAACGGAATCCCAAATTCAGTGGCGTGCTACTATATTACAACACCAAGCGAGATGTAAATTAATTTGTTTGGTGCCTTCATTTTTTCTGAACTTTACAGTTAGAACGGCATGTAGAAGACAACTTCTTATAGCATCACATCCTAAAGTCACTTATCGCTATCCTGTATTTACCCATGAACTTCATTCACAAGGAGAGTGCTGTGGCTAATATCTTTACTGTTAAGTGTGATGTGAGAAATATAACTCAAAGGTGTTGTTTGAATACTGAAATAATTGTACTTAGATTAAACCAATGGATCTTTTCAAAGACCACTGATGACAGACATTAAACCATTCCGAAACGTGGCATGTTCGTAGTAAGTCTAAAAATTCACTGCATAATAATTTTTAAAAATATTTAAAATTTTGGAATAACTAATTTTATTATATGTTGGGATTAAGGAGGTAACTCTTCTATTCGAAATAGATTTCTTGTCATCTTGTCTTGTCATATTTTAAGCTACATATTCACGTAAAATTTTTTTCTTTTAATTAATATTATAACAGCTTATTGTATTATATTTTGTAAATATGAATTAATTAATTTAAATTATAATATTACTATAATTAGTATACTTTGTAAAAGGTTATTAAGTTTGCTTATTATGCGCTAGAACTTATGTCAAAATAATAAAAAGACTTAAGACGCCTAATATACTTCTTAAGAGCATTGCTGATATTATTCTGGTTATTAACTCGCAATAATTTAATATTTTATATGCACATATGTTTTAAAATTTTACTAATTTTAAATATAACATTACGTGCCCATTAGATTCTAAAAGTATTTAAATAAAATTGTCTCATTTGGTCTGCAAAAGTTAAAGAAAACTATTTTAAACTCCAAAGCAATTTAAGTTTTAAAGTTCCTTAAAAATGATCATTTTGCTCAAGATTTTCATTTCGGAACTACTTAACTGTTAGTTATTGCTTGAATACAAATTTTTAATAATTAAAATGTTTGATGCCATTATCGGGTTCAGAGTTACCTATAAAACCTGTACTTCACCTCTTACTTTTTGTACCTTTCAGTTCCTTTATATATAAATTATTAAATAACTTTTGTCTGTTTAACTTGTATCTTTGCAGAGTTCATACACAGTTCCGTGCGTTATATTGAGATGTCGCACACACATCTGCAAACTGTTGACGACGAAACATTTCAAGGGCTCAGGTTAAAAACTCTGAAACTTATTGACAACGAACTACAGGACATATCGGAAAGAAGTTTTAGGTAAGTTCCACTTTAACCTAAAGTGCAAAAAAATTAAAATAGGGCATACTTTACTATCAATGAAGAAAATAAAACATACAACAAACACAAAACTTTAAGTAAAAACTTATACACACAAAGCTACCTAATAGAAAATTAAAAATATATATATATATTATATATATACCATTTAAATATACATATATATAAGAGGAAAAACTTTATGAAACTTGTAACAAATGCAGAAAAAAACCTGGCTTCAACCAACTCATGCTACTTCCTTCGAAATATACTAAACGTAGTATCACAAGAAAATACCAAAGAAAATGTACCATGGGAGCTTATAAATATTAATGGGATTTTAACAAAAAGGATAACTGCACTGACCAAAAGGATAAGGCATGGATATTATAAAATTTTCCATTAACTCTTCTCACAAAAGCACAAGAGCTGGCTTGCTGCTATTTATCTCCTAAGAAATCAATAAAATAGTAATAAGAAATAAAATTGCCGAAAACTAAATAAAAAAAAAAAAATTAAAACCGAGCAAAGGAAAAAATAAGAATACATCTCAGGATGTTGTCGAAGATAATAGGAAAATAATAGTAAATCATCCCCGTAAATAATACGAAAAAAAAACGAAAAAAAATATATATGTGTATATATATATAGTAAGATAGAAATTTTCTTAGAGTACATTACCTAACGTAACGAAAACGTACTGAAATAGCATCGAGAAAAAAATATCTAATTCATAAAAAAGCATGATTTATTAGCAAAGATTTGCCAGTGTTGCAACATGGCACAAGTGTGCATCCGGATACGGATACAATTGCGAACCCACACAGCCCACGGATGAATATGTTTAAAAATGTATGCAAGTCTTAAAGGAATAAAACTAATGATAACAAGAAGCAGTAGGCACACACTCGCACAGACTAAGGATTTAAGGATTTTGTGTGTGCGTTTCGGTGGTGAAAACGCAAGGTATCGTTTCAGTTCAAATATTTATTATGACCACTGATGCCCAGCTTATGCATTATATATCCCAGATAAAAGAAAATTAGTAGAAAATGATGTAAATTAAAATTTTGCCTTGGCAGTTGCACGAACTAACTGAAGCTACTATAACTACTTGGCTGCACTAAATTGAAAAAGGATAAAATACGTAAAAGTGGAATTTGCTGGATAAGAACAGCATGGGATAATAATTTACTTTATCTATCTGAATTATTGTACCAAAAAAACAAGTATAGATTTAAATTGTAGATGCTTAGTCTGTAAGAGAGAATTGAAATTGTTCATTTCTTCGTAGCTGAGCAATTTAAATTGGAACTCTTAATATTCTGCTCCACAGGGACTTGAAAAAGTAATAACCTTCCAAGAGATATGTGTTTAAATCATACTAGTAGTTTCTGAGCAAACAACAGACTAATGACTGCCATTACTATGACCTAATCGCGGTCAATTTAAATTGAAACTCAATATTATGCCCCACAGGGACTTCAAAAAGTAATATCCAAGAGATATGCATTCAAATCATACGAGTATATGCTGAACAAATAACAGACTGATGACTACAACTACTATGACTTAATCACTGTCAATCAAGTTTTTATGATTATGCATGAATTTTATTTTCATAAAGGCTGTTTCCTCACAAAATGACACAAATATGAGAGATAATTCCATGGTACAAAAATCGAAAAAATCGCATCACAAAGTGACCTAAAAAGTCCACTAAAACTGAAACATTTAGTTAAAAATCTCATAATATCTGGTTGAATTGAAAATTTAAAAAAATTAAATAATTAATTAAATTGTGAATACATAAGAGTTAAGTGAGACAGTCAACTCAATTACAACATATTTAACCCTGTTTTATGTTCCAATAAAAAAAAATGTGTTAAATGTTGAACCTTTCCAATGGTTCAAGGAAAAAAATAAATATCAAATTTTGAACCATAATTGTAAGTAGGCAGATAAGTATATTATTTGGTATATAAAAAAATTTTTTTTCTTGATCTACTAAATAAATCACTGCCCTTTTTAAAAAAAAAGTTCACCAGTGATGATCTCTTTGTTTGAGCTAAGAAGTCTTAAATTTTCACTATTCCAATATTCTAAACTGTTATGATAGATCCATTTTTTATTCACAATCACAAGAGTCTCAGTAGTCTGCTAAACATTCACTTGCCGGTAAATTAGGTATACTTTATCATTTAATTAACGATTTCTGATGTAACGATCTCTTCTGGACCACATGAGCGTTTGGTTTTGTTTGTGCTCACCACAAAGGAAATCAGTAAACTAAATCTTAGCCATAGAAATTAATAGTTTAGAGTCGCCATTGTTTAGTACTGTATCATGGATTTTATCAGTGATTTCTGGTGTGACAATATCTTTTGGGAAACCTGAATCTGTAGGATTACTTGCAGTGGCATGGTCACGAGTATACATAGTATTTATTAACCTTTTCCAGATTTTGGTGATAGTGTTTTTACTTAAAAAAATAATCCTTGATGGGTACATGAAATAAAATTTTTCCTATTTTCATTAAACATCACAAAGATTATAAAGTTTTCTAAATCTTTCACAGTAGCTTAATATAGATAAATGTAATGTAGGTAATAGATAATGTGGATAGACGATGTTGGTATGCAAAAAATTCAAGACGTCGATGAATTATAAAATGAGTTCTATATAAATACATATATGTAACCGAATTATTGTCAAATCACCTGCTAGTAATTCTATACTATCAAGCGAAACCACCGCATACTACAGTATTCAGCCTATTTGTAGATTATCTTACCAACTCATTTATAATAACTAAAAAGCAGAAAATAGAATAGGTTATTGTATTAAAATGGAGAATCATACAATTTATACCTCCATGATAAATTAAATTTGTAACTTGTTCCCCTGTTTCATTTAGGCAGCATAATTTACCATACAAAGAGCTTTCATATGAATGACCTCTTTATAAATAAATCAACTGATTTAAGGCGAAAAATGTCGACTACAATCCTCAAAAATAAATTTCCCACGAAAATTTGGAATATTTGAAATATGCTTTGTACATAAAATGTAAACAAATAAACTATTTCATATGCATAAATCAGCTTATGCCAATGTAAACGATCAAATCTTAATTTAATTAACATACGTAGTTTTGACTGCTGTGGAAACATGATATTAGAGTATGAAATCATTACCCAACGACTTAAACTTAAAGTACTGTACAATTGTGAGTTTATTGACGTTATTGCTGTACTTGTCTTTGATAAAAACCCTTCTTACAATTAATAAAGAAGTCGATGTCTTGTGAAGCATTTCTTAAGATAGTTATTATGAGTCTCACTATGTGTTCAGCGGCAAAGATGAAAAACCTAATAGATTATCTAAACTCGACGGTATGGATTTAATCTATATTCCTTTATTTTAGGGTTTGTTGCGTTGAATGTTTTAGCAAAATGACGAAAAATCGCTAATTTATTTAAATAAAAGGCTCAAGTCATTTGGGTTCCTGGTCTTAGGGACATCTCGAGCAATTGCAGGGCAGATTAGCTTGCCAAGGCAGGTGCTCTTCTCCCTGACATTCAATTTTCAGATATTGACGTTCCACTTGCAATAGCAAAACTGGCAATTAAACAGAATTATCTAACCCTGCTGAAAAAACGTACTAGTCGGTTACTTCAATTAAAGCGGTATCTGATCAGCACTATGGTATCGGTGCTGATGGGCAATTGTACAAGACAAAGGCATGCTATGAGACTAGATTTATCCTATTATGACCTTTGTCGCAGCTGTGGCTTTGAGGACGACAAGAAACCTGTGTTTAATCTCATGTCTCAGTGCCCATTTTTAGCTAGGAGATTATCAAAAATCTTGCGAACCCCTTTAGTACCGATCTGACTAAGCCGTCTTCTTGCAATATTAGAATCTTAGTCAGATTCATAGAATTATTAGGATGGAATGCTGTTACCTAATAGGAAAGTTGTTGCTTATTTCAATGTTGGTTGTATATTGCCCATTTAATCTATGTACGAACCAACGCTATTCCTTTGGTACCACAACAGGCCATCATTTGAGCTCAAATGGTATTTCTTGGTATATAAGCCCCCTACTCTCATCTAACCTAACCTTTCTGATGACCTGTCACTGCAATCAACCAACCTCACTTTGTTGGCTTCTTGAAGAGATCGTTTAACCTTTGTTTTTTTTGAAAACACAAATTTGTTCTCCTTTAATTCAGTATAATATCAAACTAGATTTCTTTTTCAGAAGAGATCGAATTTTCGTTTAAGCGAATTTTTACTATCGCTTATCCAGATACATTGCAGTGAGCAAAATATGTTTGTAACACAAATTTTGTGTATAAAAAAATTTAGATATTTTTAATGGATAATACCACAATTGTCACTTTAACAGCTTAGCATAAAAATTGATTCTAACAACTTTTGAAGACAATTTAATTAGCCAAAAAACAAACATTTTCCTGCTTCAATAGTTTTTTCGTATAACCCTTTTTTGGTTTAACGTAGCCCAGTTTCCGCACTAGTTACTTTAAATCTTATTGTCTTTGTTATTGTAGTTGTTGTATTTGAAGTTGTCGGTAATATGTAGCAAAGTACTACGGCGCATATAATAACATAATAGCAGTGACCAATAACAACATGACACAAGCTCAACAATAACTAGACACAAACATAAAAACACTAAGTCAAATCCTTACATACGAGCAGATACGTGCATGGTCCGTGCATGAACTAACACATGTCGAGTACTTTGTCCCCCTTTCCCTCTCCTTCCCTCTACCTTAACTGGCTGATGGACAAATAAAAATGCAATAAATGTTTTGCTGCTGCATTGCGCTTTCAAATTGAAAGTTGCAACAAAAACAACA